CAAAACACAAACCCCTGCAGTGCGTGCGAAACGCTCCAAAAGCTCTGTTCTTCCCTAAGTGCCTCTCTCTAATACACCACACCAAAAGCAGCAAGGATGTATGGCCTCTCGCTTGGCACTACCTTTCTACAAGGACCAAAAGAAGATGCATTGGTGTGAGTCCCAGTTTTTGAAGCATGCATTACCCCACCATTGTCTGGTTGCAAATGAGGACCAATACTGTAAAAGTGTCATCCGTATGAATAGATGAAGGTGTCAAATTTTTCCACACTTTTACCAGAAGTCTACAGAGCTTCCTTGTATGCTGCCCTTCTCCTCTCCCACTTACAGCTGTATGACTGCATTCCCGAGGCAGAAAGGCACCTCTGCCTGGAGTGCTGTGCAGCACTCAGAGCAGTGCTGGCATTAAACATCACAGCCCCTGCAGAACTAACTCAAACTGCCCTCATGGAATGCCTGTATTTGGAAACCACCCGAGCACTTTAACTGCTTTAAAACTACTAGTTTTGTTGTTTGCAGGAAAAAAAAAAAAACTATTCTCATAGCATCCGTATTATTTTTTTGTCTCAAAGTTCTGCTGGACCTGCTCAGCAACATAAAGCTGCCTGTGCGTTAAGTAAAACTTTTCAACCAACAGAAAGCAGGAGGAAAAGTTCAAACATCTCAAGCAAATCACAAACTGAAAGCAATTAGCCCTCTCTGTCCTTGACCAGGTTTTTATTGGCAAATATGTCCCAGTATGGCAAATGTTCGCTGTACCATTAAAAAAATAAAAAGAAACCCAAGCACATAACAGTTAAAAGCGGCAATGAGTTTCACAAATCTGTTCAGCGTAAGCACCGTACTTCTGGAATGAAATCACACTCTGATCACAAAGCACTCTACACACACTGAGAAAACATTAAAAGCTTCGTCTTTGCTTCAAATATGAGGCTGAACTGCCTAAAAACAAACTGCTGGAAATAATACTTGAAAAATTCTTTTCACTGAATATGTGTACACAGCTCTGCATGTGGATCGATAGGCAACAGACATTCCCACTTACCAACACAAGAGCTACACAAGGCAGTTGGCCTGTCTTTCCAGAAATCCTTTTTATCACAAATAAATCACACATGCACACAGGGAAAAAATGCTTTAGATAACATTGCTGTGAGCGTGTGTTTATTACTCTGTCTTCCATCCCCCACTTCTGCGGTTTGGTATTTAATTACAGGGTGGAGTGGTCCCCAGGCTACTTATGTTTCTTCAAGCCCCAGCCAGCAAACTTCTGCAGGAACTGACATGCACGAGTGTGCGTGCTGCGAGCCGTAGCTGGTTCCTGGTCAGCAGTGCTAACCAAGATCATTACTAACAGAGAGCCACTGCAACTTTCACCCAACAGTTCTTGAAAATACGTTTAAAAGAAACTGTCTGCTTTACAGACCACAGGGGCTTTAACAGGACACAGTCTGGCTATGCACCATTCGTTTTCTCCTCCATTTTCTTTTGCTAATGAGTATTACCACATTTTTATCATCAGGCTGGAAAGAAATGGCAGTTTTTTGACAAACGTGGCCTGAATTTACCATTCAAGGTAAATGTAACCTAGTACGCTCGGTTTGACCAACAGGACTTTTAAAGGCATCATCTAACTCAAATCCTACATAATATTGCATAGCTTTAAATGTGACTTATCATAAACAATTTTACATTTCTGCAGAAAAAGCTATTTTCACTTTAAAAAAAAAAAAAGCAAAATATTGTGGATCAAACAGGATCAGTTTATAGTTACGTATTACATCCAGAAGCATTGAGTTCCCAAAAAAAAAAAAAAAAAAAAAAAAAAAAAAAAGCTTTTCCAATTAATTTTTATGGAAATCAGAAAAGTGCTCACTGGAAAAATAAAACTGTGGGAACAACATATAGACCAATTTAGCTAACAAATTACAGGCACAGTGAAAATTTACCTTATATTAAAAGGATGCTGTTAATCAGAACAGTACTGTTGATACAATTTGGGAAAAATATGACAGACACTGCGGGGTTTTATCCACAGCTTTTTTTTTTTTTTTTAATACAGGACCCACAATTTTTTAGACCCAACAAGAATTCAGCATCTTGGAACACTCTATATCTATGTCAGAAATGTGGGACAGGTGAAGGTAAAACCATGTGAGTGCATTTTGATATCAGTCAAAGCCAAATGGTAGACAAGAATTGTGTTATGTGATCTAAAGCTGGAGTGTGAACACTTGCTTGCCAAGCCCTAGCAAGAATTTATATAAAATATTTATTCAGGAGCAATCTGCTACAGTGCTCCTATAAGCTTCCCTTCCTCTGTATTGCTCTACTGAGAAAAATGCATGCAAAGTGCAGCAATAATATCTCAGTTAGGTGATAAAACAGATTAACAACGGACTCATAAAACTGGGCCCTTGTGAGCACTCCCACACACTGACATGCAGAATGGCAGAAAGAAATGTATTTCCACTCTGCTCTGAAGGTGAGAAGAAGCACAACCCAGATCGTACAAAGGAATTCAAGGACCGGGCTCTCTGGAGATGCCAAAGCCATAAAGAAAAGAAATCGTTACAGAACCATGTAAATGATGTACTTTGTTATTTTTACAAGAAGAAAACATTCTCTGCCTTCCCCCAAGTCCTATCATTGTGCTTGGTATGGCTGAATAAACACAGACATGTAGTCTCATATAAGCTCAAGACATGCCTATTCTGACAGGCAACAAGTGGGCAAACCCGTAGCCCAACTCCACTATTTATTCCATTAGAAAACACCTGGAGTACTGCATCCAGATGTGGAGTCCTCAGCATAGGGGAGAGATGGACCTGCTGGAGTATGCCCAGGAAGAGGGCAAGGGGTGGAACACTTTCCCTACCAGGACAGGCTGAGAGCTGGGGCTGTTCAGCCTGGAGAAGGCTCGGGGGAGACCTGAGAGTACCTGTCAGTACCTAAAGGGACTGTAAGAAAGAAGGGGACAGACTCATTAGCAGGACCTGTTGTGTCAAGACAAGGCAAAATGGTTTCAGACTAAAAGAAGGGAGATTTTGACTGGATATAAGAAAAAAGTTTTTACAACAAGAGTGGTAAGGCACCGGCACAGGTTGCCTGGAGAGGCAGTGGGTGTCCCATCCCTGCAGAAGCTCCAGGTCAGCCTGGATGGGGCTCTGAGAACCTGACGGAGCTGCAGTTGTCCCTGTATTGCAGAGGAGCAGGACCAGATGGCTTTTAGAGTCCCTTCCAGCTAAAACCATTCTATGATTCCAAACGTTCTGCAGCCGTGCCTTCGCCAGGTTATCACAGTGCCACTTCACCTACAGCAAATCCGGAACAGAGACACAGAACCCATTGAAATAACGTGGTGGTGCCTTAGCACATATTACAACTGCTGCGTATTCCCAGTCCTATTATGCTACTTCGAACCGAATTCCAAACGTCACGAATAAGACGCTTCAGTCAGACAGACGGTTCGGCTGTCACATTTGTCCAAACGCGTCTCCAAAGCAGGGGAGCCCCGCGCCCACGGACCGCGCTCCGCACGACTCCTCACATCGCCACGCCGAGCTCAGATCGCGTTCGGATCCCGGGCGGGAAGCGGCAGCGCGAGGGGACGCAAGAGAAGCCGGGAGCCGCACGGGCGGGCAAGGACTCCGCCGCCCACCTCCCGCTCTGCCCCTCCCCACCGCCGCCCCGGGCCTCTCCGCGTCTCTCCCTCTCCCCCTCTCGCACCTCAGCCCCCGCCGCCCGCGCCCGCCCCGCGAACGGCCCCCGTCCGGCGCCGCTCTCGCTCACTTGAGGAAGTAACGCTGTCCCGTGTGCGTGAGCGCCATCTCCCAGCCTGGCGGCAGCGGCAATTCATCCGTCACGTCGTAGGAGCGCTGCCGGAGGTGCCCGTGCTGAGGCGCGGCGGCCGAGCCCACGAGCGAGGCGGGCGAGGAGTGCGAGCGGACGTGCTGCGCGGCGGCGGGCCGCGGCGGCGGGCCGCCCGAGTCCGTGCTGGACTGCCGCGAGTGCGAGCCCGAGTCGGGCTCCTTGAAGAAGGACTCGGGCAGGATTTTCTTCCGCCAGGAGCTGGGCCGGGGGTTCATGACCGCGTTGAAGAGCGCCTCGAGCTCCGTGTCCAGGTCCTGCGTGACGTGGATCACCTGCTGCCCCGGCGGCGGGGCCGCGGGCGCGGCGTTCATCTTCCCCCCCCGTCAGCCCCGACGGCGAAGCGAGCGGGCGACGGTCGGGGCCGGTCCCGCTGCGCGGAGGGACGCCGGGCGGTCCCGGAGGCGCGCCGCCGTGCCGGAGCGGGCGGCGGTGCGGCACTGCCTCTGCGCCCCCTCACAGCGACGGCCGCGGCCCGGTGGAGGGGCGGGCGGGTCAGCCCACGGGCAGCGCGGCGCCCTCCCCCGGGCCGGGCCGCCCCGGGCCGCGCCGCGGCGATGGGTGCCCCGCCTACCCCGGCGGCCCGGCCTCCGCCCCGCCCCGCCCCGGCCGTGGTTATGCAACGGCCGCGGAAACTTCGGATCCTCCGAACCGCTGCGGGAGGGGGCGGTTTTAGTGCGCCTCTGGGGTGCGGGGCCGGTGAGGGCTGTGCTCGCCGGGAACCCTCGCAGCCACCCGAGTCCCGTCAGCGCGACCGCTCGCCCCTCGCTTCTGTCCCGCACGAAGTTTGCGAAGGCCTCAGGGCGCCGGGCAGGGCGTGACGGCCGAGCGCGGGACGCGGCCTGGGCACTGACCTCCCCCCGGGGCCCGCAGGGTTCCGCTGTGCGCCCGCCCGTCGCGGCGGAGCGCTGCCCGCTGCTCGGGAGCTCGGTGCGTTCCTTCTCGTGACACGCGGGCAGGACTTCTGGCAACCCAATCAGCTTTGTTTTTAAGCCGTCGTTCAGGAAACTCACGGCAATACTCTGGAAGCAGAACCATTCTTAAAAGAGTGTAGTAGCTTCACAGTGTGATTTAGTGATATCTTGGAACAGGGGGCGAGGGGGGGAGGGTGGGGAAGAGTTAATGAGGACGTGTCGTACAGCTGCTTTATGAATACCTGATGATAACCCATGAAAAGATTCATCCCCGTGCCGGCAGGTATGGATTTAATACGGAGCTGTATCCCGAATCTCCCCAACACACCCTCCGGTGATACTGCAAATACAGCCGTGAGGCTGCTTCCATTCCAACTGCCTCTTTGCACCCCAGTAGTGTATATACCAGAAGCCAAAACTGTGATCAGAATGTATTCCTGAGGCTTTCTGCAATGTAAGTGTCAGTCATGCAATTTTTTTTCGGTGAATTTTGCCTTCTATTGTCATTTTATTCTCATAATTCAAAAAAAAAAAAAAAAAAAAGATTTTTTTTTTTTGGTGTGTGGAGTAACTTTTGAATAATAAGGCAAAAAAATTTGCTTCAACTCAATAGCTGCATCCGTAAGGAATAATGACAGTAATGTTCCAATGTCAGTGTTCCTTTTTGTAATAATAAGCATACAGTGCTGTATGACTACACACACAAAGATATCAGGTGTTGACTGTATTAACATGGAACTTTATTTTAGTAATGTGGGTTTTTTATTATTATTTATTTTATTTCTGCAGCTTGGAAAGTCTCTAAGCTATTCTGATTTCAGAATCCCCCTCCTCAGTAATCAGAGAGAAAGCTTTCAGGTATGTTTTTGTGTTGTTTTTGTTTTTAACTAATTTCTTGTTTCTTAAGCAGCATTCACTATTCTGAACTTCACATGGCTTCTCCAGCTGAGAACTTGGACACTATTCCTGATTAATCTTTGTCCTTTGATCAGTGCAGATTCTGAGATTCATGGTTAAATCCTGTACATGAAATCAGGGCTAAGATCAACTCCTAGGACCACGTATTGCTCCTCATTTCCTGATTTCCTTGCTCCAATAAATGTCCTCTTTCACTTATTTATTTTTCCTTAGATTTCCTGTTCACATCTCATCGACAAGCAGATCTTCTCTTTGTATTTTTTTGCCACATGTGCTGTATTTCTGGTCAGGAAATCCAGTACTCCCAAGATTTGTTCACACTTCCCTTTCCTAACAATTTTCCTGGCTATCTTTTGTACCATTCTTTTGGTGCTTCCTTACTGGTCACTTGCGGGTGTTTTTACTAGCTCGGACAGCAGTGCTAATTGCAGCACCTGCTCCAGAGTTACGCAGATATACCATATGATTTTTCCCCTGCAATTTCCTTTTTTAAACCTTTGCATATTAGATGATTGTCTTTGTATGTGTGCAGTCTATTGTACAGATAATGATCTGAACGTGAGTGCTTTTCCACATAGCCTTTACAAGGGCTTTTACACTTCCTCTAGGCCTCTGTATCCTTGGGTAGAGACACACCCATCTATCTGCCATTACATTCCTTTCCAGATGACATGTCTATTCAAGGCAAGGCTCTGACAACGTCCTTCATGGCGACATCTAAGTTAATTAGACCACTTTCAGAAGACAGGATTGCATTTTGTAAGTATATACCATCTGTTTTAAGCTTAAGCAGTATTTATTACCACTAGAACTTTCTTCTTTAGCAAGGTAGTGTTTACTAGTGTTTCAGCTGTATTTTTTACTCAACATTAAGATTAGCTGCTACCGTATGACTTGGTGGGGACTAAAGCATTTTCATCCACTAGTCTGAAAGTGATTAAATATGTAAGTACAAACTATCTTAGCATTGTTGTTATTATTCTTATTTTAGAAACAAGTAACTTCCTTCTTTTGGCACAGATAGGATATGACCACCAGCACTTAAAGGAAATGATTCAATACACTCAGGTCCTTGGGAGACAATGGCATTTTGCTGGGTGTGGGATTAAGTGATAAAGGAACAAAAATGATGTAGAAAGCTTCCTTATCATTACTTCTTTCTTCTAATTACATTATCATGCACTGTAAAAAATAAGAGCATAACATTACTTTATCTCAATTACATGTGCTATTCAACTGTTTTTGAATTGTACAGACATTTTCTCATACAACTGGAGGGTTTATAACAGTCCAGTACTTTTGGTATACCCTATTTGTAGTACATCTTCTAGCACCAAATTCTATCTATACTTAAGTGCAAAGCCAAGCATGCAGATGAGAAAAGTAGGTGCACTTCCAAATGTACAATTAGACGAGCACCTAGTGGTTTAAAGAAAAAATGCCATGTTGTCATTTTTAATCTAGATTTCTTTTTTTTTTTTTTTTTTTCTTCCCAAGAAAGCTAGCACTGATGAACATGCACAGATGATGTCTATTAGAAAGATTTCAGGATTCCCTTGAAAAATCTAATGGTTCCTATTAACTGAGTAACAACAAGGGAAAGCATTCACACTTCCTGCCTTCTGCTTTGGTATGTGCTGCAGAAAAGACTTTCAGTGGTCACTGACTTGAATTTGCTCACATGTAACAAAGCTCAGCCATATGTAAAATGAAAGTTTTTATTTCTCCAAAATAAATAATGGAGAACACGGAATAAAATGTAATAGTAAACACTGTACACGTTTTGCTATACAAAGGTACATGTGTTTTAATGCACCTATTTACACTTTCAAAACATTGTGCTATTTGTCATGCTAATTAATAGTTTATATTTGCTTTTTTGAGAATTGCTTATTGTTTAATATCCATATTTTTACGTTACATTCCTGGTAGTACTTTTAAATTAGTCTATTTTTCAAGGGACCTCTGAAACTAAAGGTAGGCTTATGTAAATGTATTTTGTTTTTTAACAAAGCGATTAGTGCTTACAATTCTATTTTCATTCACGTACATTTCGCAGCTATTTATTTCTAATGTAGCTAGCAGCTTTTAGACTTTGGCTGGCACCTCAGAATGTATGCAAAGCATATCCTGTGCAGCCAACTTTGATGTTGTTTATTTAATACACAGACCTGCTATATATTACCAAGTTTCACCAGAACAGCTATGTCAGCATGTCTCCCCTCCAGCCAACATCTCCAGGCCAGTCAAACCTCAAATGTAGACACAGTCTGCTAACTAAAAAAGAACTTACATCAGCTCAGTTCATGTCTTGTAAATTGATGTAATGTCAGGAGCAAGAAGGCTTTGTGAGCGTCTACAGATGACTGCACAGACACTCATTTCAGAAACAGCTGCACTAAGCAGAAAAATTGCACCGATGTTTGTGTCTCAAAGGTTGCCCTCCTTACAGCAAAGCCTAGGGAACGGGACACACCAACACTGCTCATTCACACCAGTACAGAGTCAGTCAAACATTTGAATAGTTTGTAGCAGTGATCTGGAAAAACCTGCAATGTCTAGCTTGTAAGCAGCTAAAGACCTATCAAACCACGCTGGAGATAGAGCTGCGTGTTTCAGCTCTGTTGCTCCATTCCCAAGAAGAGTGTGGAATAAAGTACACAGGCGTACCATCAGTTTGTCTCAGGTGGCTTAAAATGGTAATGAAATTGAGCTTTGCTAGCACAACTCACTTTGTGCTTAAATTAAATAGGAAAAAAAAGTGGGAATTGTGGTAATTTACATTTATCTTGGAAAAGAAAAAATCAGCAGCAGTAGTGAAAACAATATTGAAACCAATTGTGCTGCAATATACCAGACCCTGACCACAAAGCAAACGCGGAGTGACAGCAGACTTCCTTCCCCTTATTTAGATAACTAAGAAAGAACATGGTTTTACCCATGGAGTTTCACCAATCTCTTCCTAATCTTGTGCTTCCTTTCCTATACTCTATGCATTGTTACATTACAAAGTCACAGTATAGGAAATAGGTGTTCTTGTATAAACTAGAACCAAAACAGAATCACATTCATACCTTTGGGCTCATACATGTACGTGTTTATCAATAGCAATATACTTAGATCTAATATGTTTGAATATTACGTTCAAAAGATAATTTTAAGGTGAACTCTTAAGAGTTCAAAGCATTTTCTGTTAAATGAGAATCCCAGACCTAATCCAAAATTCGGATACTGGTGTGTGTGTGTGTGTAAATCTGAACTGTGTACCTGTTTCAATTAAAAAAACTTTCCCCATAGAATTCAAGAAACATCAAATTAATCAGAAAGCCAGATGAAGGGTGAAAGAATATTCAGTACATTAAAAGCTTGAAGGAATGTGTGACAGGGACAAGCAGAAGTACGAGAAGTAAAACTTGTAAGGGAGCCTAAATGTGCCTTAGAGATGGGGAATCAATTAAAACTCGGGTCGGTGTACTTTATAAAATGGATTGCAGTCATACACAGCTCATTCAAAAGGATATAAACAACAGGAGGAAGAAAAGCACGGCTTTGTGAGTTTACTCAGCACTTAAAGGAATATCAATGTTTACAACACTGAACAAATCATGTCATCCTGAGTGTAAAGAACTTAATGCTCTTTGCTAAATGTTTTAACAAATTGATTAGCAAGCTCAAAGGAGACAAGATGCCAACCAGTGAATTTGGAAAATGCAAAGTGAAATACAGCGGCGTCTTGAGACCACGAACAATTGTTAATGAAAGACAAATACTGAAAATGATTGTACAGTGAACTCCTCCACAGTGAATTACAAAGTTAAACTTTCTGCCCCCTGCTGTTTAAACCAGGTATTTCTGCACTTCTACAGTCGCACAAGTACAGGTGAAAGCAACGTTCCTGCAAAGCATCGTTCTCCCCACATACAAACCTGCGTGGGAGCACGTTACTGAGGGCTGAGTCCAACTCTGCTTTTCAGGAAACTATCTTATGCTTCCAATACTTGGACTTTTAGTTCTTTTATGCACTTAGAAGTCTGCACCAACACGATATTCACCTGAATTTAGTAGTCCATCAAAAAAAAAGCAAGGATCCACTTGCCAACTGCTTACATCATAAAGCCAAAAGTTACTAGAAGTACAAAGGAAAGGGAGTTGGGACAAAATTATTATTTAAAAAAAAACATTCAAAATGTTCTGTAGTAAGGTTAATAGGTAATAGCTTCTGTACTTAATAGGCTTCTAAAATGAAATAATAACGTGTTCCACTTTCTCACAGGATACTCAGAATTTAATATTTGTGAATTCCTTCAATGTTAAAACACACCACCATCTGTAAAACAAATCCAGTCAGTCACTTTCTTCAAAGTGATGTAACTTCTTGAGAGGTAATCTGCAATATTTTTTTTGTTATAAATAAAACATCTATTCCAGATTTACAAAAGGCTCTTAAAAAAAGGCTTCAAATTTAACTTTCTCCTTAGATAATGTAGAAATAAGAGGGGAAAAAAAACTATAAAATAAGTAGGGTTAAAAGTAGTAACAGTGAAAGGAGACACAAAAAGCTTCCAGGACATGTATTTAAAACTTGTATATTTACTGCCATGAACAAAGACTGTGGCTATACTGAGGAGAGGTGGAATAAAGAGAAAATACTGATCTACATATAGACTGGTTTTATATTTATCCTGAAAATACACCAATTACATCAGAACAAACAAAACCCAAGAAATCAGAAGTTGTAACTTTTGAGCACATCTGATTACCACATGCTGTATGAGAGGGAAAAAAAAAATCAACATACGTAGATGGCAACTGAAACACTTTTCTATGGGGAAGGAAGTCACATTGAAGACATGCTACATGAAGCAATTAAACACTTAGAGAATAAGCAACTCCAAATTTGAGAAAACAGACTTTTTTTGTTAAGTGGTAGTTACTTATTGATTGAAGCACTTTTGCCATGCAAGTAGTATTTTTCCTAAGTTCTAAACAGAGAGAAAATGATGCATTTGTAAATTAGTACAGAAATGTACGGTGTCACTGCAAAAGTCACTGCCAGAATCTGAATGTGAAGGTTCTCATCTGTTTATTCTCTCCAATAGAATTTAAGGGATTTATTATGTGCTCTCACTAGTGACAGTGAAACACTAACTAGTAAAACTACTTACCTTTGTCACAAGAGACATGAAATACTGCACATAAATACAACTGAAAAGTGCCTTTCAGCATAACCTTTTGAGGACAACCTTCTTAAATACAGAAAGCCTTTATTTACTCTGCAGTACTTAGCTTGTCTTCAATGATACCCAAATAGGGGGAAAAAAGCCCAACCCAAGGTGCTGTATCACAAGACAAAGATCTGATTTACCACAAGTTAACTGTTTTCTTAACAGGCCTAGTAGCCAATAGTTTTCAACTGTTCAGATCACCTTTACCTGTAGAAATAATCAGCACGCTAACTTACACTTAGGCCACAAGACCTTCTGTAGGAACTGCTATGTGTAGAAATGCCTGCCTAGTAGGGCTTACAGATAGCTTTGTTAAAATTGAAGCCTTCTGTTAAATAAGATGACCTGACATGAGTTATTCTCATGTGCAGGTCTCACCACAAAGCTGGGAACTAAGTTTTCATAACATGCTGCATTGCTGCTTTGTGAAAACATTTCCAATACAATTAACAATAAGCAGCTGTTGGGAGAAGTGAACAGCAGAAGCTCTGTAGCACCTAGCCTCTGAGTTGGCTGGATCTCTTGGACAGGAAGGCAGTAGTCCCACAGGTACACCTGCACTTCTACACGTACAAGAGTCTGAGTGGAAGAAACATTCCTGTAAAGTATCATTCTCACAAGTGTAGGTATTGAATAGGTTTTTATTTTTATTTCAAAACAGAGGCAGAAACAGAAAAATCTGCTTAATAAACATAAAAACGTGCACAATCTCCTATAATAGTGACACAGCTTTACTTATGTAGAACGTAGAAAAGCTCTTAAAGTAGAACCATACTAATTTAGAGCTAAAGGAAGTCTCAGTATGGCATACTGATTTCCTACATACGTAAGTAAAGTAAAAGCAATTACCCATCTTGTATCAGGCAGGTGTGTAAAGTTAGCACCAGAAAATGTTCAGCCTGTAATTACTGACTCAAGATCCTGGCCAGAAAAGCATTACTTTCAGATTAACATCTGATCCAGATGTTTATTTTTCTTTACATGTGTTAGTGAACACTGAGTGCCTAGCACAAGTCTTGAATGAATTCTATTTCATGTTTCGTGCTATTCTCCTACAATGGTTCGTTTTCATTTCCCCCAGGGCTTGTTCCAATTGCTGAATGAGGTGGAGGAGGGTAGAAGGGTCAGTTTGTAACACCTGGGTAGTTAGATCTTCGTTCTCATTAAGATGTAGCTTTATAGTCACCGCAGGCTTAATTTGCTGCCTCAGACTTCTGCTTGCAAGCTGCATGAGGGTTTAAAGGAAATTAAAATAGGGAAATAAGCAACAACAAAGAAGGGAAGATAGTTGGGAACTTCTACAGTTCCCACATCAATAGTTCACAACAGGTTTGCAGGACCTGCTTGCAGGCCTGTTTAAAGAAATAAACAAATCATCTTCATTGACATTAAACAGAGTCTATTAATAATTTTTATCATTAGGCAATACCCATCCATTTTAATTAATGCATTCAAAAGATTTATGAAAATTAGCTGAAAATAAAGACCTGGATTTATTTAGTATATGCTAACTTTATAAAGCACTGATAGAGCTATGAATTCATTTTTCATAAAGGAACAAATACTTTGCACATCCTGTTCACCTTGCAACTAGTTCAGTACAATAACAAAGCTATGTCCATTTGAAATATATGAAAATGCTGCAATTTGTATTACTCTGAAATAATATAAACTCATATCTTTATAGTTGCTCATGTTATTAAAAAATATAATGCAAAATACAGAGTACCAATAAAAAAAAAAAAAAAAGAGATTACCTGCACATCTAGTCTCCACTCAAGGCTATGATAGCTGGGAAGCTTCGGTGCCAGCTCACCAAGAATGCTTCTGATCTCCTTCCTGTTATCAAGGTAAAGCTGAAGCAGTAATTTGTTCAAATCATCTGAGAATCCCAAAACATGAATAGAATCTTGGAAGTCCATTTCAGAAATCTGGAAATTAACAATTTAGGCCTTACTACAGAGCTATGCAATAATCATTATTACTTTCTCAACAACAGAACTGTGAGTAAGCACCATACATATTGTGCAGTGCAGTTACTTTACTGCAAGGATACACAGAGACGAGTCTACAGCTCGAAGAAAACAGATAGCACATTTTTAAGTATTTGAGAGCAAAATACAATAGCAAAAAAAGCATCTGAAGTTTGCAATAATTAAGTACATTTCTGGACAATCAACTTAGCAACAGTATGTAGTATTGATACTGAAGTTACAAATACTCTGAAATGGACTGAATATCTTGTACACATAAGAAGGCACCAGGTGCAACTTCAAAGCCCCATATCAACACAAAATAGCCCTTTGAAGTCGATCTTCTCAGGTCAATGACTGTGCTGAGCTGGAAGAGCTCAGTTCATCACTGCTGAAATAGCAATTTAATTTACAGTCATGCATTACAATGCATACATACAGTAAGAATTCTGTGATTAACTATGCTTTGCCATAACAGCACTGCAATTTATCTGTCAGTCAAGGTACCTTACTTCAAGGCAACACGCTACACTAATTCATTTTCCTCTCTACCTGCTCTTTAGAACATCTGCTTAGCTTAGAATTATTTGTCTATGGATCACTTTTCTCTGTCTCTAGTGTACAAACAGTCTGCCACACCAATAAGAAGTCTATCTAATGGAGTTATTATCCAGCTATAATTCTCTTACTATCTGCTCGCGCTCACCCTGAATGATGTCAGCATTTGAAAAAGCTCTCGGGCAACACAAGGGGAATACTTACTCTGGGTTAGCACAACATGCAGAAAAAGCAGCTCTGCTGAAGTTGTGTTATTTGGACAGAGCTTAATCCTGAAGCACCCCTCCTTATACAGGCTGAAGTGTTGGGTGTTTTTGTGATGCGCTATCAGTGTTATGCTTTGGTATCAGGGATGCTGCATACAAATCCTAAGCCTATCCACACTGAAGCGGTGTTTTAATAAGAATACAGCAAAATACACCTCTTTCATTTAAATAAACAAAAATCCATCTCATCAAAACTTTGACTTTTCCTTTTTCATCAGTGTTTTTATAACTCCTGTTGCTCAGCAGACATCCCTGAATTCACCACGTAAGGTGTTCTCACCATGAGCTTGGAGCTTTCTGTAAGAAGGTACATCAGTCCCTCCACCCCATGCTGCACGGTATCAACACCAGCGTTGAGTTTTCCTTTAAAGAAAGCAGAATTCCTTTTAGGTCCTTGCAAAGCTGCCAACCGTAACACACACAGCTGCGTATTTACTCAAAGCTGGAGGAGTACGCATAGAAAAAAAGTGAAGATCGAACGCCTCGCAAACAGTAATGAGAGCAACCCAAAGGCGAGCTGAAGGCGCCTAAGAATTAAAACACAAACCCAATGCAAACGCAACCGGTTACAGCACAGCGCCTGGGTCACAGCACGCCCCGCAGCGCGGTCTGCGAGCACAGCCCAACGAGGGCTCCGTGACCCGGGCGCCACCCGTCACCCTCCGCGTGTCCCGCAGCCGCGGTAACAGCGCGGTAATGGCGCGGCAGTGCCCCGCCCCGCCCCTTACTGGCAGCCGCTTCACAGGCTTTGGGTGCCGCGCCACGCCGCAGCAGCTCCACCGCCAGGTGCCCCAGCTCTCCGACAGCTGAAACGAGAGGAAGCGACTTCACTGTCAGGTCGGGTAGGCCCGGCCACCAACTGCCACTGCCACTGCCACTGCCATTCCCGTCCCGCCCGCCGCCGCGCGGCCCGCAGACGAGAGCCGGCGGACTCAGCAGAAGCCCCACCACCGAACCTGCGCCGCCCACCCGGGACAGGCAGCCCAGGTGCGCCTTCTGCTCCTCCGACAGCACCAACAGCATCGCCGCTACCGGGGACAGGAAGGGGCGGGGGGGGAGGCGGGCGGGCCGGAAGGGCGCGGCGTCCCGCCCACGGCTCAGGGCCCGCCCAGCCGCCCCGCCCAGTCGCGTCACGCGCCCGCGCCTGAGCGACGTCCGGCTGGAGCAATGGGATGCCGCGGGCAGGCGCGGCCCTTGGGGGCGGGACTTCCGCCGCGGCCGCTGGGTGGAGGTGAGCGCGCCATGGAGGCGGCCTAAGTGCGGTTCTCGGCTCCTGGCGCCGGGCCTTGTGCCGGCCCCACAGGTGAGGGAGTGTAGGCTGTAGGGGCGGCTGCCGCGTCCCCCGGCTCCTACCCGCCGCGCGGCGCCCCGGCTTTGCGGCCGTTCGTGCGGCGCTAAGCCCGCCGCTCGTTGCGCAGCGCCTATTCGCTTCCGCCCCGGCCGCCCCGCCTCGCGGTATCGTTGCGGCTCCGGGCGGCGCCTCGCGGTCGGCCGGCGGAGGGAGGCCGGACAGGGCACGAGCGCTCTGCGGGTCGCTGCCGGGCTGGGCGCGGGGCCGTATCGTAGCGCCTCGCGGCCCGGCGCTGTGGTGAAGCGGTGGGGAGGGGCGCTGACCGCAGGAGAGCGGCGGCGGGGAGGAGCGGTGCTGCGGCGGCCGGAGCTGAGCGCGAAGGGCTGTCTGTGCGAGGCGGGTTTGGGTCCTGTCAGCCTCGGGTGGGGGAGGTGGAGGTTGGTGATGATGGGCTGCCGTTGGGTTGTAGAAAGCCGCGGCGTAGGGGTATCCGAGATACACGTGAGAGCTGTGATGGCGTTTGTGCAACTGTGTGCTGCGCTGCTGGGTTTTGGAAGCCTCGGACAGAGCAGTCTGCTGAAAACGCGGAAAACGCCGTCGCTGTGTTTGTGGTGGGGCGGACTCTGATGCGTTCTCTCTGGGCGTTGTAATCCTGTGCAGCACGGAGATGGAATT